TGAATAAATGTGCCCAAATTAACAGTTTGCATTGGGTGTATAACATAAAGCCACATGACCTAAGACAACATCTAGTGTCTTGAATTCTTTTGGCACTGGTTTTGATGTCCTGTCTATTTCTGGGATTACTTCCTGCCGTTTATGAGATTTCTGCTTTTCCCTGGTACTCTGGAGGAAATTGTCACTTTAATACAAGATAGATAAATTTCATAGCCACATTTAAAAGTTGAGAGAATTTAATGTTAATCTTACTCTTTGGCAGAAGCAGCCACAGGTCAGGTGATTTAAGGGTAGCTCCTTGTAGTTATCTCTTGCTACGCAATAAAAAAACACAAAACTAAAGTTGTAAAATAATAATCATTCTGTTGTATTCATGGCTTTTCATGAATCAAGAATTTGGACACCACACAGCAAGAATGATGTTTTTAGTAAGAATTTGGACACCACACAGCAAGGATGATGTTTTTAGTTTACAGTCACTAGCGTTAGATTACTTTACAATTTCTAGAGCTTCATTTGGTAGGACAGGGTGGCCGAGGGCTGACTCGGATGTCTGGGCTGGAATCAACTGGAGGCCTCTTCACTACCATATCAAAACCTGGGCTAGGTTCACAGGAAGGCTAGATTTACCTGAAGGTGGGGCTCGGTGGGGCTGTCTGCCGGGACTTTCTTACAGAACAATGGACTAGGATAGTTAGATTTCTTCTGTGGCAGTTTGAATTTCTAATAGCACATGTTCTAGCCAGCAATACAGAAGGAACGTGGCTGTCGTGTTTCCATCGTCTGTTGGTCAAAGCGGTCACAAACCACCCAGATTCAAGGGGAGGAAACACAGATTCATCTTATAAGAGATACATTAAAGAATTTGTGTCCATAGTTTTAAATCATCATTGCTGTGAGTTTTAGCTCAGTTCTCTCTGCTACGATTTAAATTACGTCCTCATCCCTGAGACACGGTACCTGACGCTCACAACTTAAATGAAGAGAAGTTTACTTGGCCTCATGGTTTCAGTACTTTGTTGACCAGATCCAAGGCTGGAAGACATGCTAGAAGGGTCTAGCAGAAGGACTCTGTCCACAGAGTGGTGGCCGGGAGCAGAAAGAGAAGAAAGGCGCTGAGAGAGGAAGTTGTGCCCTTCCCCCATCCCCAGTGCCTTGCGTCTTCCAAGCAGACATCACCTCACTGTAGGCAGTCAGCTATAGCGTCCCTATAATCGCATCATCTTCTGAAAATGAGGTACTTGGTAGACATCTAGAGATAAAACATAGAGTAACTCCCAATTTGTAGAAGCAAAAACTTGGGCGGGAGGATGTGACTATTGTTCCCAGTGCCGTGAAAAGCTGTCATATAAAAGAAAGGACATCATTTCACCCACAAGGCTCTATGGAGAGCGCTAAGGATTAGTGAGCAGAGCAAAAGCGATAACTTACTGATTTTTAGGAATGTCTATTAATGGGTTGGCCTGGTTAGCAAGATGGAGAATTTTTTTATTTTCAAACTGTTGATTAAAACCAAATGGAGAATGCCTGGGAGATTGTATTAGCTGGCTTCTTTAGGAAAGGGAAGGCTGCAAGTGGCTACATGTCAGAAACATCACAGAAGTTGTAGGGAGTCATGAATAATCCCGCCAAGACTTCAGTCTCTTTTTCTAGGTCACCTTCTAAGTATGAGATTTCAGGGATGTTGGGAACCCTCATGGTACCTCCCCTTGAATGTGCTTCTTCTGGATTAGTTGTTAAAATCCCTCAGTGTGAGATTAATTCCTTTAATTGAAACCTTTGATCATTTTAAAAATGCAATGCCCTAGGAGAGGTGAGAGCTGAAGCTTTCTCGGTAATTTATAATTTCACACCACACGTTTCAAGTTGTATTTGGCAAGCACAACTAGACAAGATAAGACAGGGTAATAAATATCTGAAAAGGATCAAGAAGTGCTTCAGAGAGAAAGAATGACACATAGTGGGGAAAGATATATAAAGATCTAGGAGACCTGAAAATTTTCTGTGCCAGATCTGGTGAAGGGGTGATTTTTTAAAAGCTTAATGTAAAAGGATAGGAAGTCACATTTTTCTAAACAACTGGTAGAAATTGGGTGCCCTATTTCCTACCCTTCCTGTGCTTGTGAAATACAGCTATAGGCTCAGCTCAGTGAAAACCTCAGACCCGCCCTTCCTGCCTAGAACAGTGGAGGGAGCCTCATTTATTCCCATCCCCACATTATTAGAAGGGTGATCTGAGGTTCAACCCACTTCCTGAGAAGTCATGTCAGCCTCTGTACAAACAAGGTAAACTCTCAGCCATCAGTCCGCAACACAAGTGAAATCCCAGAGGAGGAAGGACATGACGTGGGGGGCAAAGGCAGTCCCGGGGGAAATGGCTTCACATTGTGCATAGGAGGTGATTTAAAAAACGACCTCATTTGGAGGACAAAGAAAGCAGAGTCAAAAAGAGGCTCTAAAATGTATAGCATAAGCAGAGCATTTGATATAGGAAAGAATAAGAATACCCAGTGGTCCCCTAGACCTTCCCTCTCCCCACACTATCCACATATACACCCCAAAATCTCTGAATGAAAAGAACAGCATTAAGTATTTCTAAGCTCTTCTGAGGACCCCAACTTTCACTTCTGTTTTCCTTTCCTCCCACAGACCAGTGTGCCCCTGCAAAGCCAGCTCCTGGAAAGTATTTGGTGTCAACCATCAGTATCTTAATGGGACATAAAGATAAAAGGCTGCCTCTATCAGCATATTTTGACTTTAAGACTGATTTCTAAGGGTAGAGAGAAAGATTCCTTGATCTTAGTGAGCAGATGATGAGAAAGGGAAAGTGAGGAACAGAATCAGTCATGTGACCCATAGTCCATGCAAAGGTACCAGCTCAGCCTCTGGGTACCAGGTACCAGCAGTCTTGGAGGCCAGAGGATCCAGTCTTTTGCCTGGAAGCTGCTCACCTGGTGAACACCTAACAGGTGGGCTCTCTATCTCTGATCCAGGGTGATTTGATCCATCCTTCAACCTCAGTCTTTTTTCCTGAGGTTTGTGGAGGAGCCACCCTACTGGGGCTCCACATTTCATTAGCAGCCAGCTACAGGGTGCTATGCACTGTAGGCTTTCTTCCCAGCTGCAGGAATCTTAAATGGGTTGTAAACAGAGAACCATGAGACCAAAGTCAAAACCCTCCAAACAGAGGTTTTTTTATAGTCTTCGTCAGGCCCATGGATGCCTGAGGATAAAAAGTCCCAAGTAGCACCAAGTGCTATTTATGTCCACAGACATAATATAAAACTGAATCTTGACTCTGTTATGCAGCACCAATAATCAGCTTTATGGGATTACAGACACATCATCCATTCCTAAGGCCCCAGAGAGCTATTTTTCTAGCATTATACAGCCTCCAAGTAGTGGATGTCGTGGCACTGTTCTAGTGAGATTAAATATCATCCCAGTATTAGAAGTAGAGACTTCTTTATTTATTTATTTATTTATTTATTTTTCTTCCTGGCTACAAGTGAACAGACAAATCTTGGTTATGAGGAGCTTTTAAATATTCACAAGCACAATTACAATGTGACACTCAAATGCATTTTAACGGGACCATTTGATGGAAGTAGAGAAAATTACTATTGGCTCTAAAGATTTATTTAGCATAGATGTTGCTCAAGGAAAGGAAAAAAATCTTAGATCTCAACCTAAATAAAATTTAAATGTGACTCAGGAGGGAGAGCCTTTTTATACATAATTTGAACTATGTGAAGCCATCAGCAACAAACAGAACTTGTAATACTTTTGATGGCCAATAGACAAGAATGAAAGTCTGAATAAATCACACACTAAGAATTAACTCAGATAGCCAATACCCCACTCAGTGAGATAGTAACTATTTATTGGTCTGCACACACAGGAATTCAAACAAGCTGGATAGGGTATAGCTGTGGAATTCTACAAGGATGCATCAGCATGGCCTTATGTTGCTCTGAAATTGAGAAAAAATCAAATTACGTACTCATTCTTGAAGAAAAGACTCAGACCCTCTCCCATTTGTGTCAGCTAATCCTAAAGAATCTTTGCCAGGCAATTTTCTGTGAAGATTTGTCATAAATGTTTTGCATACAAAATAGGGCCATAACTCCAGCCTGCATTATGTACTAAGAATTTTTAGCACCTCAACAACTTCAGTATTTCTGCTGTGACCTCTGGAGAGGGAGGTCTCTAGTGCTTATAATTGTCTCTCTTCTTATACTAATTAAAGAAGACAGTATCCATGGCTTACTAAGGAGAGAGGCTCTAGTGAAAAGGAACGGTGTTTATTTGATACAGGTTTTAGTGACAAACACTATTTGTCACAGGAATGTTTTCTTGATGTAGTGGTAGCCAACAAACCCAAAACCAGGCAAGCTATCCCAGAGTTCATGAAAGGAGGATCTCAGATCAAACTAATAGCCTTGCAACACACAGTTTTTAAAATTTCTTACAACACACAGTAAGAAGCAAGAGGGTACAGAAGAGGTGTGAACACACACTTAAAACAGGGTGAAGGTGGAGTGGAGGGACCACATCATCTGGTTCTCAGTTACGTAATGTTCCTGGTTCTGTCTCTCTTCCTGCTGCATCTCCCTTCCCCACTGATGGGGGTGGGTTCACACAGGAAAGGGAGGAGGCTGAAGCAAGAGATTCTGCAGCTAGAAAGTGCCTAGTGCCACAAGGAGCTTGCTGTAATACAGAGAGACACAGTGGAAGGCCCTGATCAACAGCTGTAGTTTTCTAATTAGCGTGATGAAGAGCAATGGATTTTAGTCACAGAGGACACATGCCACCAGAAGGAGTATCATTAATGGATGTCCTATTTCAAGCCTCATGAATATGGAGTGGCTCGTATTTTTATTTATATTTAGAGATTCATGAATATTTGTTGCTCCTTCTGGCCTTTTCTATATATGTTTAGTAATACATGCTTTATTAACTTGATGTCTCACCTGTCTTACAGATTACTTACACATCCTGTGAATTCTGTTGCTTGACCTGGTTGCTTATTCATTACTACATGTCACGTTATCTTAGAAATTTCATTCCATTTTTTCTTCTTGTCTAGGTCAGGATTGAGTGTTCTCAAAAAATACAGAAAATACACTTTACAGTGTTGATGGTCTACATGTTTACTCCTTTAAGCTTTAGAAATTTTCCTTTTCTGTATCCCTCCACCTAGCCATCTATGTATGCATCAAATCTTAATTGAACACCTACTAGTCACTAGGCAGTAGTCTAGGCTATGAGAAGATGAAGCTGACACAGTGTAGCCTTGAAAGGGTTGACAGTGCAGCATCAAAAGAGGCGTAAAAGGAAATACCAACTGTAAAGCATCATAGGCTCTGTAATGAACCCTCATACAGAAAATAGTGGGACAGAGAAACTCATGGTCAGTTTTATGGGGTGCGTGTGTCTGAGGCTGGGCGGGTGGGAGAGAGAGCAGTGTGGCTTCTTGGAGGATGTGGTGCTAGTATGTCAAAGCTGAGTATGTTCCCCAGTACAAAGTAAAGGAGCCATGTGAGGAGAGCCAGGAAGCTTTGGTGGACACGCCAAGGTGCTCCACGCTAGGAAGGGTGTCAGAAAGAGCCAGACAGTGTGAGACCTTGAATTCTAAAAGTGAGATTAGTCTGTTTCCCTAAATATTTGATTTTAAATTCTATGTAGCATGAAGGTAAACTTCATTCTGGTCCCTCTACAAATTGTGTGACTTATTTGCGAGGTCTCGATTTCCCAGGACCCCTTTTTCCTCATCTGGGAAATGGGAATAATCACCATTTAAGTCTGCAAGATTGCTATAGAGATTGGCAGATCATGGTTAGAAGTTTGCAGCACTGTGCCTGGCACCTAACATGCTTCCAGAAGATGGTGACTGTCCTGAATATAATTGTCACTGTGATGATCACCACTGCCACCAGGCTGAATGAGACATAACAACCAGGGTTTGATCTACCAGACAAGATTATTTATAGAACATTTAGTGAAGTTCAGAGAAACCTTTGTCCCCACTGGAACCAAACTGGCTTTCATCCTCTAACCTAGACAGGTAGCCGTACTGTAGCTACCTTAAAATGACGATGATGACGATGATGATGATGATGATGATGATGATGATGATGATGACGACGATAGTATATCTTGAGATTTCAAGAGTCTGTCTAAAATGTCTTTAAGTTTTATGACATTTGGAACAGTAGGTTAATTTGAAATTTACATGCAGTATATATCTAAGGTAATATCATGTAACACTGGAAAAGGAATTGTGGAAATGTCCTGAATTCTCTGCTACCTGAGCTGAGAGTGGGGAGACAGAGACTTGCCTTTGTTTGGGACTGAGAGAGGGACGGTGGGAGACACTGGGAGGTGATCTGTTTTCCCGGCATCTTTAAACATGAGAGAGAATGGAGAGAAAAACATGACCCTGGCCAGGCTGGTGGTGTGAGGAAACGATGGTTCAGGGCATCACTTTGACCCGTGTGGCTTTGTTTAAAATCATGCCAGGCAATTCCTTCAGCTTCAGGAGCAGCAGCAGCTCTTGTCAATAAATCACAGCGGATGTGGGGAAATCACGCCCAGGGTGAGTCTGGGGCTGAATCAATCCCGTGAGGCCAGTGCCCTCAAAAGCAGCTGCCAAAATTTACATTTTCCCATTTGCCCTCAGGTTCAGAACAGATACAAATCCATATACCACAGCACAGAGCCCCTGCTCTTCCTATCTGCCAGCCAGGCTCTGGGACGGGGTGGGGAACAGATGAGATGGAGGACCTGGGCCTGCTGATGGATTTGGACTCCAGATGCACCGTGACCAGGCTGCTCTGGGCATCTTTTTTTTTTTCTCATTGAGTTTATCGGTACATTTTAGGTATACGGTACAGTTACCTTCATCATTGGGATCTTGGGCATCTTTTTTAAATTTCTGGAATCTCTTGGAATGTCAGTCCCATCATTATGAATAATTAATCTCTAATAAATGTCCAAACTATACTGTGAGCAAAAGAAATTTAAACAGATATGTATTTTTAAATTACAAAATATTTGTACATCATAAGAACTTGAAGAGTACTTAACTATAGACAAAATAGAGTAAAAGTCTTCTCCTTTATATTTCTTACCCAAATCAGATGCCCTAGATGTAACCACTAATGAGATAGTGTGCATTCTTTCCAATTATTTTCTATGTATAGAATGTAATAGCACATGCTCGGAAATCAGCCTGGCTGGGTTTGAACTTGTTTACATCACATAGCACTACAGTACCTTAGATAAATTCTATAACATATTCCATGCCCCAGTTTTATCATCCTTCAAGTGGGGATAATAACAATATCTAGCTGATAGATAGTCATGAAGATTTAATAGATTTATTTATCCAATGTACACACAGAATTTATGCTTACTACCCACTAAGCACTCAATAAATGTCTGCAAAAATGGGGCCACATAAAGATAACTTTTAAAAAATTCCCTAGGAGCTTTGATTTCAAAACAAATGATAAACAAGTAGCTTAGTTTTTGGGAGGCAGGATAAATCGGACTTGCAGAAATTCTTTAACTTCAGAGATACCTACATTTCAGGAGAGGTAGTTGCTGGTCTTCCCCAGTAGAAATACCTCATGGTGGTTAAGAACGCAGACTCTGGGGCCAGACAAACAAGAACTGACCTCTGCTTACTTGTCTTATGACCATGGCACTTTATGAAACTTCTCTGAGCTTCAGTACTTTACCTGTATAACAGGGACAAAAGTTCTGTTTCAAGGATTATGTGAGATGATGCAGGGGTGGTATATTTGGCTCAGAGTAAGCACTAAAATGTGGCTATGGGCATAGGAAGTGAAAGACTTAATGTTTGCCTTTCCTTGTTTCCCAGGTACAGGTGAGGAGCACAGGGCAGGCACCATTCTCTGAAGAGTGGGGAGAACAAAACTGAAGACTGTGCTCTAGTTTTCCTGAAGGTGCCTGATTCACACACCAAATTATTTTGTATGACCTTTGGTAATTGATTTTTCTTGTATAGCAATTTGTTGGAATAGAGATTTCCAGTGTACAAAGCACTTTCAAATACATTCGATTGCTGTCCTGTTGATAGGAAGATGAGAAAGGCATCATTAGTACTGGGTTAATATTTGTTTCCAGATAAGAAAACTGAGGCTCACAAAGCATAAAGTCCTTGGCCAAGGTCACCCAGCACATGACGGAGCTAGAACAGCACCTTCATTCTGTGTCAGGCCTATCACTGCAGTGCCCCGACATGGCGTACCAAAGTCTGGAGTACTGCGCGCCACTCAGATAATATAAAGACACTGGGGCCAGGGTCTGGTTCTTAACAAACAGGCGCCAGGCAAGTATATCTATAGGTACCACCACCTCCATTACCGTGATTCTGTTTCATCCCAGATTTCTTTTCTGATCCTGTTATGGCCAGTGAAATTAATAATGCTAATCTGAAATGAGTATGAGGTCTAGGACTAAAAAGTTAGTATTTTTTTCTTACCTAGATAATCCACATTTGGAGAAGTGTGGATTTCCCTCCATATCCCATTCACATAATTTGAATCACAAGTGATTTTGCCCAAGAAACGTGGTCAGGAAAATTTCATCTATAATTGTATTGCAAGGAAGAGGATAATGGAAATTTTAATGAAAAGGCCAGCGCAATGAGACTAGGAATCAGTTCTTTTGCAATAGGAAGCAGCTACTTTGCTCAATAGGCAACAAAACCTTTAGTGTGTGTTCATGAAAATTATGATCATCTTTAGCTCTGTTGAGATTTAACCAAGGGGGAAGAAAAGAATCTTGCAAGTTCAGAGGTAGTTCACTCAGAAGTTTGTCTCCAGACTTTGAGAACATTTCAATTTTTTACACACAAACAAAGGGTACACAAAGAAAGAGGCTGGATTCTTGTCCTGAGGAATATAGATCCTCTAGATCATCAGGTGTGCATGAGATGTGTGTGTTGCTGGCTTTAAGTGATTTGTATCTCAGGAGTGATAAGAATATACGAGATTCACTGTAACCAGCCTCAGGCCTGTGCAATAAACAGGACTGAGTGGCAATGACAGCTTATTTTTCCAACAAGGCCTCGTATGGGCTCCCTGTGACTCCCAGTGACTATCCTGGGCTGGAAGTAGAAGAGAGAGGCGTGTCGTGTGTGTTTGGGAGAGCAGAGACACCGAACTTGTGGTGACTAAGCCCGTCTGGTGAACCAGCTACTAGAGACACAAAGGAGAATTTGCATAGTTTCAAGCTTTGCCACTGAGTGGCAAGAAGAGACTATGGTATCTGCCCCCCTTTCAGTCTTCCATGGAAGAGAGAATGAAATGCAATTTCACAAAAGTGGACCTGTTATAGCTCCTCAGTTTATATATGGCAGACACATCATCTACCCCAACCCAGTTCCTAACTTGCATCTCTCCTATAACTCACTGCACTACAATTTTGCTACAGGGATGAGGAACAGCTCAAATAAAACAAAACATGCACATAAAGAAGCAGAACAAAGTACTCCATTCATATTCTCCCTGGCTGTTAGGGGTGAATGGAACACCAAGGGCTAGGAGCAATGAGAAAGTACAATTCTGCTAGGCATTTCTGGGAAAAGTTTGCTCACTTGATTTTTTTGAATCTTTTTTTTTTTTTGGTACTGGGGATTGAACTCGGGTCCTTGCGCTTGCAAGGCAGGCCACCGAACTACTGAGCTAAATCCCCGGCCCATTTTTGAATCTTTATGGTAGACTTCAATAATGGCCACAGGTTCTTCCCACTGTGCTTTTGGAATTGACTTTGCCATTTCTCCCACTCAAAAGGCAGAGGCTATTTCTCAACCTCTTGCTTAGCCAGTGGCACTGTAACAAGCAAGTTATGGACCAAATGTGATTTCAGGCTAAAGCTTGCCTTCTCTTGCTCATCTCAGAAACATACAACCGTCAGCCAACATGCCAGGTGCCTGCAGATCCATGAGAGAGACCAACAAAAATCACGTGAGCTGAAGCAAACAACTCAGCTGACAGGATGGTGCTGTTTTAAGCCACTAGATTCTAGGATCTGTTTGTTACCCAGCAAAACCAAGTGGATCTAGGTCCCCCCACACACCAACCCCTGTTACTTTCTTCTTCCTGCTTGGACATAGACAAGAGACTGAAGATAGAGCAATAAACTTTTCAAAGATCATGAGAGGACAAGTACATTGCAGATCAATCTGAAGAGTCTGGCAAACTGGTGCTCTGTCAAACCAATGAATGTCTCAAGACTGCTTCCAGATGTTATATTTTGTGAGAAAAATAAAATCTTGTGTTGTCAACCTACTTGTATCATCTAGTTCTTAGTTGCAAACATTAGAACCTATTTTAGGTAGTTTAAGGAGAGAATAGTTTGTTTGTTGTTTGTTTGTTTGTTTTGGTACCGGGGATTGAGGGGATTGAACTTGGGTCCTTGTGAGGCAGGCAGTGGAACCACTGAGCTAAATCCCCAGGCCTATGGAGAGAATAGTTTAAAACAGTTTAGAGAAAATTTAGAGATCCAGAAAACCATTCCACAATTCTACCTAGCCAGGAAAAGGGCAGCAAATACAAATGAGTCAGGAGAAAAAAACCCAGTGCTGGACTGATCTAGTGGAAATGTGAGTGCTGCTGGCTCCTACTACCCTGAATAAACACCAGAATGTCCTCTGTAGCCAAACTAGGAGGACAGAAGCTTTTATCTGTGTACTATCCACGCAGCTAGTCCCATGCCACTCACCTCTGCTTCAAGATCTCGCACAGGTCACTCTATCTGGTAGAAATATATGTTTTATTCACTTCCTCTCTGGCCAGCTGGTGAGGTTGGGATTTCTGCTCTAGAGATGGCCACATGCACAACACCCAGCACTGGACACAGGATTTCCACAGCAGTTTATGGGTCACCTGGACTCACAGTGCAGCAGAAAAAGACACCACACTCCATGAAGAGCTCTCCAGGACAGAGAAAATAGGCACTGTTATATGAAGAAGGTGACTCCCATCCTGGGCGGGGGGTGATTGACTTATCTGAAAATTCCATGTGCTGGCTGGAACGGAAGTCCAGGATCCAATATTAAAGAGAGCTGTTTGGCTGGAGGACTTCATTCACTAGAGCAGAGGGGACAGGGGCTTGTGATTAGGCTATGGGAAGCTCTCCCAATTCTACCAGATGTCAAGATAGCACATATTACTGAAACTTAATTTCAGGACTTATACTACACACATCTAAAGCAAGCACCCAATCTGAAAGGGGATTTGGGGATTTGAAAAGTCTAATCTTAGCTTCTCATTCTGTAGGAAAGCAAGCTAAGGGATTGGAATGGGTGTTAAGTGAGCAATATTCTACTTCTTTTATTATTCAATGCCCCTCTTTCCTTAATTAAACTTTTAAATAAGAAAAGTTTCAAGAACATGTTCCTACCTCTGGTAATGTAACTACCCCTTGTGCAAATGAAAATGCTCTTCCTTGCTGTCCAAAAGAGAAGACTCAAAGTCTAATTGGCCAGTGCCTTTAGCTCTAGATGATATTTATACCTTCTTTAGTGCACTCATAATCTTACCTAAACATCCACTGACATGGAGACTGAAGAAATGATAGAGGAAAAAAGAAAAGAGTAGGATTGGAAACACACACACATACACACATCAGAGAAGGGCAGAAAACATAGGTAGTTACTGTCATCATTTTCTGCAGTTAGTAAGTGAAAATGAGAAGAAAGTAAGGCCCTGTTTTAGTAGCAGTGATGACAGGCAGTTGTCAAAGGGACACGGTTACGTCTCGAGTGTCCTGAAGCAGAGATAATAGTTGAACAAATTGTATGGCAACATGTTAAGCATCCACCCAGGGCTTCTGGAAATATAAGGGGAAGATTCTTTGAAAGGGCAAGAGCTGAGAGCCAGCAAAATATATGTTAGAAGTACAAAGATATAGTTATTCACCCCCCAAATTAATATCTAATTAGGAAGATGATTATTCAATGCACAAAATACATATGGAAAAAAATATGAGTAAGGCTACACTGACTCTTTAAGAAGAACTGAGACTAGAAGAGGGAGGGATTGATCGGGGATACACCCACCTGAGGAGCCAATGGATTATCATGTCTAGTGACTGCCACAGTGCTCTGCCGTGTGCTCAGAAGAGAGAAGAGCTTCAAAGGCCCAGAGAAGTTATACAACTCACTCCAGCCCACACAAGCAGAGAACGGCAGGGTGAGTGTCCCTCAATATAGTGCACCATGACCAACTGCAGTGGACTAACTTCTAGGAGATAATTCTTACGCAGGCTTCCCTCTTGGCCAAGGAAGAATACCACTGCCTAATTACAGTTCAGCCAGCTGATTTTCTTGTTCCTTCAGTAGGCAAACTTTCTCACCCAGTCATGGTTCTCAGCTGAACTTTCTTGGCTAATGGGCTAAAACAAAGAGTGATTTGTTATAATCATAGCCACTAAGCCTGGAAGTTTATTTCTTATAAGCAGCTCATCACATGAAGAATGCACTTTAATTTATTTATTTTTCCCCTAGATTGGAAGAAAGATTGGTGAAGAAAAACAACACTATTCAGGTAAAAGAGATTTTTATTTTCTTTATTTTTATGCTTAGTTACTATTTTCTGTGTATTCCCATAGAAAGATCTAAACAAATAATTCCTTGTGGCCAACTTAAGATATATAAGAAATATTTGGGGATATAGGTGAAATAATTTGGAGCCAAGAAACCTGAATTCTGCTCCTGACTTTGCCAGTGACCACTGGGAGTTAGAGTAAGTCACTTTTACCTGAGGACCTCCCTTGATTCATCTGCAAAATGACAGGGTTGGTCTGAATTCGTGGTTTCCAAGTTGCTCTTTGGGAACATAAGATTACACAATAATTCCTGAAGAGCATATAACAAGGGAGACCAAGTGGGAGAAACTTCAAGTCCCCCATTCCAGCTCAGTTTTATATATTGGGGCTTCCAGGCTAAACAAAAATCCAATCCATTCAAATCATCCAGAGAATTACCCAGGCCCTAATAATCTGTGTTTCCAAAGCATTTGGTTGATGGTTCTAAAGATAGCTCCATGCCCACATGCCTGAAATGAGTAAAATTTTGGATGGACTAAAAATAAAGAATGTTGGTTTGATTTCCAGAACAGCATAGAGAGAGTGGACTGAGAAAAATGTATTATGAGTAGAGAATTATGAGGCTTCCCTGCCAAGATATATTAATTACATAAGCATGATTTGTTCTTAGCAGCACCGCCCCAGTGTGACTACTGCTTCACTATATAACCATTTGCCTTGAGGACAGACACTGTAAGCCTCTTATAGGCTGGTACCACAGTTTCCAGCATGGAGATTAACTGTCAGAACCATCCATTGAAGTCAGTGGGAAACATGAGAGTTCAGTGTTCCTTGTTTGCTGTTGTAGAATCTTAGCCATATTAGGAATTTATTTAGCCATAGTATAAATAACTATTACTATGGCAACAAGGGAAACTACATGGCAAAGAAATTTTTAGGAGCGTCTTGAAGCAAGTGGTCATATCTACCTTAAGTCCAGAACTGCTGTTAAATGGAGTGATAGTAAAAGAGTTCTAAGAAAACAGTGTTGCCTTGCACACAGACACACACAGACACACACACACACACACACACACACACAAATTGTTGCAAATACTTAGACTTTTAGCTAGTGAAATAAATCAACAATACTTGGGACATAAAGTAAAATTAATGAATAATCTCTAGGAATCACAATAATTGGATTTTTTGTTTGTTTGCTTACAGATCAGCAAACAAGAAAGTATTATTAGGACTGTCTTCAAGCTAAGGAAGACATTTTGTGAATTACATCCTTCATGATCATTTTGTATATCCTAAAAGAACCAGAAGGAAACAGACTTGTATCTATGAGAAAAGACCTTAACTTGTTAGCAGAAGGGAATTAAACTTTTTTAGCAATGAAATAGCAGGATGGTCAAAGTGAAGTCACTGTCACATCTCTTGCCATCTGGCCATCTGTCATGGGTATTTGTCCATTTTGAGGCAAATGTCAGAGAAGAGGATCTTTATTGTCTTGATAAGTATGTATGGAGTACATACAGAAGTGTGAGCTGCTAGAATTAGTATCGAAATATCACATCCATAAAATGTTGTGTGCTAATTTTTAAAACTTTCCTTTTCTCAGTTGGTCTGTGAGAAAGTTTCAGAGACAGCATTTACACTGTGTAGGTGAAAGGACAGAAATGCAGGGACATAAATGAGCTGAAGAGCCTTAACCATAGCCACCTGGGAGTGTTACCAGCAGGACAAGGCCTTTCCACCTGGCCAGCCTTGGGGCCTAACTCTGCAGAATGAGAGACCCACCAGCAGGGGAGGGCTTTGGACAGACGCAGACCTCAACAAAGGCCCTGGAGGAGATGGAGGGGAATAGCTGGTGAAAAATGGCTGGCTCAAGACTGTTTAGGGCGGGGACTGTTGCCCTGGAGGATTAGCTGGTCTGGGATCTGGCCCTTACCTATCGTATGTATGTTCCAGCCTTTTGGCTTTCCAGGCTACACTGAGCAAAGAGGCATCTTCTTGGACCACATATAAAATATACAATTATAGTTAAGTAGAAAAGTTACAAAATTTATTTTTTAATATTTTTATTATAGCATCAGAGAGAGAAGAACAAAGAAAGGAAGGTCCTTTTATTGTTTTGGGGCTGGGCTATTGCTTATTTATGTATGTTCCAGCCTTTTGGCTTTCCAGGCTACACTGAGCAAAGAGGCATCTTCTTGGACCACATATAAAATATACAATTATAGTTAAGTAGAAAAGTTACAAAATTTATTTTTTAATATTTTTATTATAGCATCAGAGAGAGAAGAACAAAGAAAGGAAGGTCCTTTTATTGTTTTGGGGCTGGGCTATTGCTTATTTATATGGAGTGGGCTACTTTTAACCTACCACAGGCCAGAACAGGCCAGGTTGACGTTTATGGGTTCAGTCCTGCAGAAACAGGTTTGACCCCTCTGGACCACTGTGGCCTTGGCGGAGAGAAACTAAAGATAAGAGCATGAGGTCGTTTTAAGAACCAAGAGAATACAGCCTGCGATGACGGCATCAGGTCCCTAACACCTACCACCAGCAAATTTCTAGCAAGGGCTTAAGTAAGAGCTCTTGAAGGGTACAGCTGTAGGACGCAATTATGCCTTCCCCTTTCTCCTTTCCTACTCATAATTCACTTGGATTGACCTTGCTTGACTTTGCCATGACTTCTAGCCTTACTGTCCCACATACATAAGGGAGTCTTAAACATGACAGTCTCAGAAATCTTCCTCAGCTCTAGATTCCCAGAAGGATTCCCTCAGGATAAAGCATCCAAAATTACACCCATTGGCATTTGCTTTTGTTTCTGTTCTTTCTCTACCCTATAGCTGCCAAGTCACCCTATAGGTATTTGAAACTGAATAAAAGGAGTTTCTCATGGGTTTAATTTCAGTTGCTCTCTATGTTTGTGTGGGTTTTTCTTAAATGCACATATGAAGGGATCAGTCCTTAAAACTGTTCCCCAGGCACAAGTATCCTTTTAGTTCTCAGGAGCTTGGCAAGCCACATAAAGTATTCTAATTAGAAATGTGCAGTTTGAGAAAAATTTGAAGTCATGCCCTCATACAGTGGAAGAAAGGATGTCTGTTAAACTCCCTACAGACATGAAACTGAATCTCCTTGTGGAATGAGGTTTTCTAGTCTACCAAATAATTCTCTCTCCAGACTTCAGGATCTGCTCTGAGCACTGGAGCTTCAGATTATTAGCCCCATGAGTCATAAACACTAACCTCCCCCTACCATTGGTTGGATGTTTCACATGGGCACTTGATTCATCCTACTCTGTGTCCGTTCCAATGCTCAAAGTCATGGAGGGCATAAAAGTATGATACTGTAGACTGAATGAGTCAGAGGTGGTCAGCATGTAGGTTCTAGAATGTGCTAACTCCATGACCTCTTCAAACCTCAGTATCTTCATCTGCAGTATACATGGGCTTGTGGGGCTAAGTACATGCAGGGTACCCAAACAATGTCTAACTGTAGTAGCCCATAAACAATGATCACTTCTATAATGATCAAAAAGGGTAAAACAACAGATTCCTTTATTCTACAGGCATTAATTAAAAGGCTTTTATGTTCCAGACAACACACTAGGACCCTGATATGCACTGCTAAACAAAGCAGGCATAGGAGCTGTTCTCATGGAACTTGCAGTCTTGTGGGAGACATAGTTTGTATAAAACAAAAACCTATAAATATATAATGAAGCATTGTGGTAGGTGCTATGAAGGAAATGCACTGGTGCTTGAAAGTTCTGGGAAGTTACTGTAGGCAGAAGCATGTGGGCTTGGAGAACAGGAAATATTCTTGCCAAGGAGGCAGTAGGAGGTGCCTCTACAGGAGAAAGGAGTCTGGGAGAAAGAAATATTTACCACAGGAAACTCAATTTTCCTCCACTGACTCACACAATTTTAAAGATTGATCATTTATCAAATATTATTCCTCAAATCTTTTGTTCTACAGATGGGTAAACTGAGGCATAAAGTGAGTTGCCTCTAGTTGTATTGCTAGTTAATAAGACAGCAAACTTCAGAACTAGGTTTTTCTTTCCAATTACTGCCACTTATTTCTTCTTAAATATGTCAAAATATCCAGGATTTTTTCTTAAAGGATATTACAAAATATAAAATGAAGGTGTCTTCACCTATCTTGAAATTTCTGGGGGAAAAGAAAATTAGGACAAAGATCCTTAGGAAATCCTGCAAAGTTAAGCTATTTAAACTTCCCCCAGTAATACTTTTGCTTTTGAGTGCTTCTCTTTTGGCATTTGGATTAAGATAAAATCATGTTCTCACCAAATTGTGAGGAGCATCAATGGCCTAGAGCTGAGCCTGGCTGTGCGAGTTTATAGACCTTACCCATTGGACTGTGGCCCACCATGCATAGGGCAAACAACTGCTGTGCCAACTCCCAGGGGCTGCTCTGCACCAAGAGGGGGACCCTCTGCTTTCACCAACACTCAGATGCCACACAGAAGGGTGTACAATTCTAGCCCACTCTGAGGGAAGCAGTTGTCCCAGATGGAAACAGCCCAGGTTGGGGTGGATCCAGGTTTAAGTCCCCACTCAGTCACTTATTAGTAACTTTGAACAAGTTACTTAATCTCTGAGAACTTGTTTCCATAGATATAAAGTAAGAATTTGAACCTAACTTTCAGGGTTATTGTAAACCAATTAAATTGGCACCTAAAACGGTGTGTGGCACATGGTATGTAATAAATACACCTTCCCTTATTTATTTAATGAACATGTGGTTACCGTGTTCTAAGAGCATTCCAAACACTAACTCCTTACCTGCCTATCTCCCAGTGAGAGGGACTGTCCTGACAGAGGGAGGAGGTTTGAAAGGCGTGAGCTGTATCAGGAGAACTTTGGGAATGGGACGGCATTATTTTGGGTAAAAACCATCCACCCTGTCTCCCAAGCAGGCAACTTTAGGGGATTTCCTAGACTCCTCACTAGTGGTCATTATCCTTATTGCAATGAGTAATATAGTATTGATAATCTCATGGTATTTATTGACTGATTATTTACTCTCTAGATTCATCCTCTGTTATACTGTGTTGACCCATTTTCTTTATAGCAGACATATATGTGGGCCCATGTCCACCATACTAACTTCCCTGTACTTCCCACAGGCCACACATCTTGGCTTCTCTGTTGTCTTCTCCAGGAGTTTCACTGGCAACAGTCTTTTAAGCCTCATCTCAATTATTACTTCCTCTTGCCCCATAAGCCCTTTTCTGACCTAGTGGGTAGTGCAGGAAGCTCTTTCCTGGGAGACTGGTATATTGTCCACTAGCAGACTTGGAGAGTTTTAGATAGTCAGGGGCTAAATCTTAGTCACCCATTCACTTTACAAATAGTCCTTGAGTAACAAATATGTTTTGGAGATACACTGAGGCAAGATGAAGTCCTTGCTAATAAGCAGCTCAAATCCCACCCCATCTCACTGTACCAAGTCCTCCTTATAAGTGAGATGCTTAGACACTTTTGAGGTCATAGTTTTCTATGCCACCAACTCATAGTTTGATGAATTCGCCTCTATCAATATAACCAAATGTATACTATTTTGCATATAAGTTCAGAAGACTCACAGATACACTGAAGCCCATTCATGAACACCAGGTTACAGTTACAGATAATTAATTTATTGCTCCTATATCACATCTGCTCCAACTAAGCGTCATTTAAACTGGGTATCTTCTAATATGCAACAAAGGTTTCAGGTATTCTTGTTGAAAGCAATGCAAGAGTACCAACTGGGGAGGAAGAAAACAAAAGAAAGGAATAATATGAGTCATAATCTTTGAATCTCCTTCTCCTTCTGCTGTCACACTCAGACCTCATAAGAAGGATAAGAGAAGTCCTATGTGTGGAGCTCTTCTGGCTTAACAGGGACAGCCTGGCTGCAAATCCTTCTCTGACTTCCACAACTCTGTTCCTAATGCCTGGAGTCCTGCCTCGGGGATTCAGTTTTGCTCCTCACCAGTACTGTTCTGCCCCTTGTTTCATCTGGCTTCATCCACATCTGGGACATCAACCCAAAGCCTCCACAGCCTGGCCTAAGCATTCTCCTATGGTCTCCATCTTTTTATCTACCAGCTGCAGACCAGTGGATGTTCTTCTAGCCCACATGTCTATTGCCAAAAGAGCAGAACCCTGAGTGTGTGAGTGTTAGGTTCCCCCGCATGGTCTCATTATGCTTTGCTGTCTGAAATGTCCTGCTCTGTCATCCCAACCGTGACCCGCCCTACCTCCTTCCATCCATACAGGACCCTTGGAGGTCAACAGGAGATGCATGCGGGGGGAGGCCAGGGGGAGGCAAGTGAGGCATCTTAGCACAAAACCTGAAGGGCACTCATTCTCAAAAGGTTGTCCATTCTCAAAGGGATCGTCCATGTCCCAGCTATGCCCCTGTCCCGCTGGAGAGACATTCCAGTCCTTCCAGGGACTTCAGCACACTCTGGGCTAGAGATTTTCTGTTTTTAATTTCTAGCAGAGACCACATAATGATGTATAAGAAATTCTGTTGCTGAGGGTGAAAACTCATGGGGAAGAGGAAAGTATTTTATATCAAGTTTCATGGCCTGTGATTAATCCCTTTATGAAAAATGGCCATTTTAACATTGACGTGAGTAATCACACCTCTCTTTCCATCCTCACAGAGCACTTCCTGCTATAATAATTCAGGCCTAATACCCACTCAAGGAAGAGGTGTCAGCATGCTATTCCTATCTTCTGTGTCAGCCCATTTGTTTCTTAAACTCTGTCGGTATCCACTACCACACTTCCAGACATTAGTGATTCATGATGGACATCGACCGAGATTCTAAAAAGGGCATTGCCAAGAAGAACTCCACACAAAGGAGATTTCTCAAGTTGGTGACAACTCAATGACCCAGGAAGTCCATCATGAGGCTTTTGAGCTGTGAGGAACCTGCTGAAAGATTTTCAAGGCTATTGTCTACAGAAACGCAAGGTGGAATAAAAGAAAACTTCCTGGACTGAGGTCAGATCTCTTGGGTCTTAATTCCAGTTCTAATTTTGCTAAACTGCTTGACTTCCTTGGGCTTTTATTTCTTCCTATACACAAAGACAGGACTAGCCAAGAGCTACATCAATAAAGACCAGTTCAGCTTGAAAAATGGTGCCGCAGGATTTTTTTCCTGTCTTTGTCTTCTAAAAGAGTTTGACAATAACAGTGGGAGTCCAGGCTCAAGAACTGCTGTCCCAAGCTACGTGAGGAATGTGGAAGTCTCTGCTGTGCATTCATCGCTTGACCTGCGCTCCGAGGCCCTACCCCTCCTCCCTCAGAGCATCGCCCCGCACAGGATCTTGAGGGGCTGCCAACTCATTTCTCCCAGAGGCCTCCCCACTCGCCCGCTAACACCATTTCCTTCCTGCTCTGGTTTCTGACTCACTGCTGCCGTGCTCCGTGTGGTACCCTCAGAGGAGAACGCATCTAGCAAATGGCTTCGCTTGGGGCTGCTTCTCTGGTCTGCCCCTTCCGAATATTAGAAGCAAGATGACAAGTGAAACTGAATCGATCTCATATTAAAGAGCATTTCTTTGTACCTGGAAGAGTGCTTTAGCTCTGTATACATCGTCTCCTATATATATTCCATATGTACTCCACTATATATAATATGTGATCACAATGTTTAAATTTATTAACTAAAACATATGCTGCCATTAACTCCCCTCAGACTATTCCTCCTCACTTTGAATATGCTCATCCCATCATTCACGCCACTTTCCGAAGCAGCCCTGGAAGTCCTTTTTCATGACTGAGTGAGTATCTTTACAAAGTATAATTTTAAAAAAATACAGTGACAGCTGCTGCCGTGTGCCATCCAGTGGAAGGGCAGGCTCATAAAAATACTGCAGTGGGTCCTGGGCCACTCTTTCCATGATATTTAGCACCACCTGATTCCTTGCTGTTCCCCAAAGTTGAAATGACCGTGGAAAGTAAACATTTTGAATCAAATCAGAACTCCACGGCAACCGTGACAGCCCAGCCAAGGACACTCATGAAAGAGGTCTTCCAGAACTGCTTCGGGAAAGCACAAGAATGCTGGGACCAGTGTGCTTGAAGCAAGGAGGGGGTATTCTGGAGAGGAATGATTGCAATGTGTCTTTTGTGGTAACAACTTTTAAAAATGTACACATCCACTGTAATTTTCATCCTCAGCTATTTCACAATGAGCAACCATGCATATTTGCACTATTGTTTTAGTTCGAGCAGGGTCACTGGTTCATTCACATCAGTTTCTAAACATCCGTGACATTCCAAACATTTATTCCGGAGAACATATAGCGAATACATTCTTATACTTCTCCAGATATGATTTTCCTAACTACTTTTGGGAGGAAGCAACTAATGGATGACAAGGGTGGCTTTGGATAGGGAGAGGGTTGTACAGCGTGTGTGCCATTCAGATGCCACCTCTGGATGACATTTATCCATCCAGTCACACTGCATACTTCATCTTCCTACCTGAAATCAGAAGGTCATGCATGATGCTCACACAGCACAGTTACTGTCTCTGCTGGAGGAATTTCACACAAAGTCTGATCATTTCAGTGGCAAGCACTGAATTAGAAAATACATTGTTGTAATCTTGGTGCTGGGGCCTTGCTTCTGTAAAAGTATATGTGGTGAATTAGTTGAGAATAAAATCATTTTTGTGGGGAGCAAAATGATTTAATTGGAGCTCCCTAACAACGACAAGAAAGACAATAGAGAAGAAAGTGGAGACCCCTCCCATACAACTTGCTGCAGAGTCATGGATGCAAAGAGCTGCATATATAGAGGTACAGAGCACCTCTTATAGGGCTCTAATGCTCATCTTCATTTAGTCCTTACTAAGAAAGTGATAAACTCCTGGCCAGACGGGACTACAGTAAATTTGGCCAATTTTGTGTGTGTGTACTATAGTGCCAAATCGCATGTGTTGGAAACTTAATTCCCAAATTCACATGTTATTGGTATTGAGAGGTAGGATTTCTTTTGTTGGTTTGTCTGAGATGGGGTCTTCCTATGTAGTCCAGGTTGGCCTTGTACTCACTACGTAGCAGAGGCTGGTTTCGAACTCATGGTCATCCTCCCACTCCAGCCTCTTTGTTCCTGGGTCACAGGCGTGCACCATCACACATGGCAAGAGGTGGGATCTTTGAGAGGTGATTGGCTCAGCCCTTGAGAAAGGATTAATAGGTAACCAAGGGAGGGGTTCTGTTGTCACAACTAGCTGTCTTGGGCTCACTTTCTCTGTTTCTTCGTGTGATGCTCTCTATCATGGCATTTCCTGCAAGAGAGTCCTCAGCAGACACCAAAAAGGTACCAGTGCCATGTGTTTGTACTTCCCAGTGTACAGAACTATGAGCAATTAAATCTCTGTTCTTTATAAATTACCTACTGTCGAGCATTTTGTTATAGCAATAGAAGACAGACTAAGACGATGTCATATTTAGATATCTTTCCTCCTAGAAATTCCCATGTCTTTTCCTACTAGAAGGGTCTCTTCCTTTGGTGAGGACCAGCAGCATACCAGATGCTGAGAAGTTTCTCTGTCTTTTCTTGCTTCTGACTTTGAAGAGGAAGCCCCCGTCAATAACACTCCTGTGGCTCTAAGCATCTGCTATTCTAATTGTTATTGCTTGGCATTTAAAGAAGCTTCTGCTACTTGTGACGCAAAAATCTTCTCTCCCCTTCCCCCATGGCACCCTCCACAAATCTTGAGATTCCAGCCATTTTTTATATTATTTTACCTCTTATCTCTTTGCTCTGATCACTGTATGATCTGGCTTATCCTATGGCGCTAGGAGAGTTTTCATTGAGATGAGAGAGAACATAATTTGATAGGAATCATAGAAGAGTATAGATTCAATATTTTCATGAGTTAAACTCAAAAACTCACCCCTCTCTACCACAACAAAGATATAGTCAGCTGTTTGACAATAGGGTGAATCAAAAGCCTCATAATTATCAAGGTGCCACTTTTGTGGGTAATGTTAGATGTTCTCCCAGGACTCCTGAGCCGGAACTCTAAGTGTAGGTGACAGGTTCCTCTGTGAGGGAGGACATTTCTAGTTTTCAACTGCATTCGCTTGGCTGTACCAGGATGCAAGGAACAAATACGATTCCATGGGGAAGTAAAGAAATTACAAAAATCAGTTTCAGCAAGCCTTATGGGAAACTAGATGTTCACTCACTATGCAGTGTATTTCTAGCAACCTGGAACTCCTCTGCCCACTTGAGAGTGTCCACTGCTGCCAGCAAGCCAGCATTGTACTTAGTCTCTGCTTCTGTAAGTGACAAAGGCATCACCCACTAAGTGTTTAGTGACATTCCTCTCATATAGGCCGAACCCACACTGACTAGTCTGGCCTATCAGCATCTGGGATGAGTGCTATTCTTGGGCAGAGGTCACCTTTTCTTGGAATGCCACGTAGGCCACTAAGCACTCCTTAAGCAAAGTGTTCTTCCTGGTGTATTCAGTTGAGACCAGTTAAGTGGTACAAAGAATGATCCCTCAAAGGGGCCATGGATGAAGCAAGTGCTCCCAGTGCTCTATCCCCAACTTTATTCTATAGTTTGTCTCTGGTGTGTGTCATCGTTTACTAGATTTTGTTCTCTGTTTTTTCCATTGAACACTGAACTGAGTGTATTGGGGGTTACATTTTATAAGAGGCAAACCTTGACCCCTTCTTTACTCCACTCTCATCCCTCTATGAGCTGCGAGGGCAAATGACATTCATCTGTGAAATAACAAGGAAAGCTGTATTTGGGAGTATTCGCAGATATCTAGCACAAAGCCTGCACTTTTCAGGTGCTGTACAACACGTATTTCTCTGAACAAATGGAAGCCTGCTTAAGCATACTGTTAAGCACAGCGATCTACAGGATTTCAAGCCAGGGGGATGACAGAGGCTGGAAAAGTTGGGAAGCACTGCAGTAGAGAGCAGGGCAGGAATGCACTGGATGGTGTCTTACTCAATTTGGGCAGTTCCGAACAGCAAACTAATTAGGAGCCACTCAGTTCTTTGGATGACAGAGGCTTCTTTGAGTTATCTATTATTCTGGGGTCTGCTGGTGTCATCACAGCTAAATATACTCTAAACAGAAATCTATAACCATCTCAATGAGCACTAAAGAGAGACTTAGTCATCATGGCCACCAAATGTCATCACACACATTAAGTGCACATATGTGTCTGGAAAAGTCCTAGTTGCTCTCTGAAGTGCACAGCCTCTCACTCACACTCATTATATGGGTTTTTGGATTTTAAAACAGCGGCACAGAGGAAGATGTCTGACCTCAGCATAACAGGAAAATGTACTCTCTACATGTTTCTACTCTGAATTTTTGCTCCTGTGTACCATAGAGATTTTTAGATGTGAAGGGACCATTTGTTATTTGGTCCTCTGACAATGATATAACATTAAGACTATAGCCATAAAGCAGAGAGAGGAGGAAGTTGACATCTAATTACTTCTCTAATTATAACTGTGATAAGTGCTTCCAAGGCACAGTGAGGTCTCTGACCTGTGTGGGGCAGCAAAGGATGTTTTCTACTTTTCTCCAGATATTTAACAGAAGAAGACAGAGCCAGGTGAAGAGTTGAATAAAGATATGCTGGTATTACAAAACTGAGAGAGGATCCACTTTCCCTGTGCTTTGATGTGAATCTTTTGGTGAGTGGCGACTCTCTTTAGGATTCTCTTTTGACTGTTCTTGACCCTTAGATGTTTCCTAAGTGGATGCTATGGTGACCGCAGCAATGGCTCTAGATCTGAGGGGTACAAACCAGTACCATAACTTTTACTCTGAGCTCCAACCAGAGGTGGGACTCAGTATCACAGTGCTCTGTCTGATGCTTTTGCTTTGTTTCTTAGACTGAGTGGAACACACACACATTCACGTTTACACACACAAGCATGCACATATGCATCAGGACAGAGCAGTTGGTGAAATAGTTGCCCCTTATCTGCGAAAGATATGTTCCCAGACTCACAGTGGATGCTTGAAACTGCAGATAATGCCAAATCCTACATATCTTGTGTTTTTTCTATACATACAAACCTATGATGACATTAATTTATAAATTAAGCACATTGAAAAAATAACAATAAAAGTGCAAAGTCCTAAATTCTATCTCTGGTACAAAAAAAAAAAAAAAAAAAAAAAAAAAAAAAAAAAAAAAAAAAAAAGAAAGGCGGGGCGGGGGGAGAAAGGAGGAAAAGAGCAATAAAATAGAATAATTGTAATATACTTAGTAAAAGTTATATGAATATGGTCTTTCAAAATATCTTATTCTATTGTGCTTACCCTTCTTCTAATGATGTAAAGTGACTCCAGAAGGAGCATTTTACAGCTTCTCTTTGGCATACCCAAATTGCCACCATTACTACTCTTGTGTTTGGGAGCCATTATTAAATAAATACAAATTACTTGAATACAAGCACTGTGATACTGTGATAGTTGATCTGATAATTCATCTATCAAGTGATTAATGGGTGCGTAGCATATACAGCATGGATACACTGAACCGAGGGGTGACTCATATCCCCAGAAGTATGAGGTTTTATCTCAATACTCAAAATGGTGTTATTCAAAACTTATAAGCTTTTTATTTCTGCAGTTTTCCATTTAATATTTCAGACTGTGGTTGACCACAAATAACTGAAAACACAAGAAACAAAATGTAGTTGAGGGCAAGCCACTGCATTCAAATGCATATTACAACTATTTATTGAATGCTTCTGTGCGCAAGGTTCTCAGTGCAATGAAAATTCCATGTACTAAGAAATCTCACAGTAAACCCAACTTCTTGCCCCTTAAGTATTCCACATTTCCAGAACAAACTTGCCGCCGCACTCCGATCTTTACTTTTCAGCACACAGACGTAAAGATAGCTGGTGCTTATGCTTCGTTCTGTACCAGGTGTTGGCGCTACTGGAGTCAACACTGATACTATTTCTGTTCTATCAAAGCTGAGGCCTGACCATGAAACGAGGAACTTCAACAACAGCAATATTGAATTTGAGCTTTATAAGTACTGAGAGAAGCCAAGATGTCTGAAATGTGTTTATTGCTGACTTGCTGAAAACAAAGGGAAGAGCGCTGTTTCCTAAATGGTTCTGACCCAGCTTTTACCGCCCCACTCAGAGAATGTTGCTGCTGTTGCTGACACAGCCAAGAGCTGGGCAGGGAGGTGGTGGGTGGAAGTCATGGGGATTTTGTTGCAGGCTTCCAATATTCATGGCTATAAAAATAATATGACCACATGATTCCTTCTCATTGAGGAGTAAGATGCCTATAAAAAAGTAAATTGTGAAAGTAAAACCGGCAAATGGAGAATGGCCATCTGTACTGGGAACATAAGCTTAGGTAGACCCTTTTTTTGTTTGTTTTTTTTTTCTTGGTCCGGGGACCAAAACCCTTGTGCCTGCAAGGCAGGTGGCAGCACCACTGAGCTAAATCCCCGGCCCAGCAGCGCCCCCCTTTTCCAGCAAGAGGCCATATATGGCACTGTTTTATGGTGATATACAAACCTAGTCTATCACATTGCCAAGGATCAGCAGGAAAAGAATTTCCTGGGTACTACATGTGGAAAACAAAGATCAGCCCTAGGAATAAGACTTGTCTTTGCTGTCTGGGATTTTTCAGCAAAATATTAATATTTCCTAGGTCTCCACTCTTCCTTCTGTAAATTGGGAATGCCGATTTCCAACTCCTACGGAGATGAAGTGCTTTGTGACCAGATACTAAGACTGCATTCCTTAAAAAAAAAAAAATCTCAATTGGATTTATTTGGATTCTAAAGCCAAGTGATGCTTCATTCTATAAAATAGAATACACATCCTGAGCTGCATTCTTGTAGCTACATATTTAAGGAATTTTGGTTGGCAGAGAGAGGGGGTCTGGGAGAAAGCATGATTGATTGGTTGGTGTGAACATTTCAGTGCAGCTGAAAGTAGAATATATTTCACCATGGTGCCCAGCACCACTCCCCCTCCCAACACAGCCATACCCCGATGCTGACAACAACAAGGAAACATCTGAGATGCCGGGGAGAGGGACTGCTTTCCAGAAAGCAACCACATAGTTGGGGCTGCGGTCTCTAGAAGGACATCTTTTGGGAAAAATAAAACTAATAGTGGGTACGTTTGAAGGCCTCAAGAGCTTTTTAACTTCAGATAGAATTTTGGAATACAATGGTGATAACTGAGCAAGAAAAGAATATGAAGAGTTATTAACTCTAGGATCACTAAAAACAATTTTAGAACAAATATAATGCAGTAAAGGGATCAATTAAAAATGTTTACATAGTCAACGTAATACCATCCCTAAGTATTGATGCAGCCATATTCACTGAATCATTTTGAGAAAATGCGAGCCCGTGTATGCATGTGTGTGTGTGTGTGTGTGTGTATGTGTGTAATAAGTGAAAGTCTCAAATTCCAAAGTGTGGTGTTAACAGAGACTGTCTGTCTTAGTTCATTTGGGCTATTATAATAAAATATCATATGCACAGCAGATATTTATTTTCACAGTTCTAAGAGTTGAGGAGTCTAAGACCTGGTAGTAGCAGAATCTATACCTGATGTGGCCATTTTCTGGTTCTTAGATGATGATACCTTCCTGCTGTGTTCTCACATTGTAGAAAGGATGAGAGGTCTCTCAGGGAATTCGAGAAAAAAAATGCAGCAAAACTCTAAACCAACACTTGAGGGCTTTACCTCCATGGCCTCTTTAACATTCCCCACACAAGCTTTTCATTTTATAAATCATGTATAAGCTCAGCCTCTCAGGAACCCCCTTGCCTCTCTGGAGTCACATTAACTCCCCTCCTTTCTCTACCCACAGCCCCTGGACAGATCCCTAACTTTGACCTCCACATTGTGTGTTGTGAGCTGCTCAGAAATTGAAGCATGATCATCTGGACTCCACAACTGTGATATGCATCCAACAAATGGTTAAGAGAATGGTGGATGGTTTGTGCATTCCTCCTTCCCTCTGTCAGGTCCGGGTAGGTTGGATGTGGTTCCTACAGCACAGGGGAGGGACGGCGGAGACCTTTGCCAACTTACCCCGCTCAATTTTTTACCTGTCTATGGATGGGGTTATTGCAGCTTGAGCAACCTCTGAGAGCTGGAGCAGGAGAGATGGGTGGGAACTTTATATTCACTGTTGCAAATTCCAGGGAACAGAAACAGTGTAAAACTCCTAGTTGTTTGCACCTTTGCCCTACCTACAGGCTACAGTTCTTTTTAAGGGTTCAAGATGCATGCTTGCTCCAGAGTTCTGTATAGGGAAGACTCTTGGCTTTTGGGATCATTCTCTTCTAGGGGGCATGATGCCTCACTCAAAAGCTTTTCCACCTTTTAAGTGTTTTCTTTTCTGAAGTACCTAAGGAGACAGAGATGACAGAGAAATCAGTGGATACCCCACCTCCAATCTCCAGTGTCTGGTGTTTATAGATTCCCCACCATCGTTCAAGACAGATGCTGGGGTGGAGATTTAAAAATAAGTCATTGGACTGGATGTGGACTTGGGCTCAGTGGTTCCACTGCCTACCTCACAAGGGCAAGGTCCTGAGTTCGATTCCCAGTACAAAAAAATTCAATGAGGCAGAATGCAGAACTGGAATGGGGACAGACAGCGCAGCTCTTAGTTCAAGCTCAGGCTTAGCCTAACCTTCATCAAGAAGGGAGCCCTCTCTGTGTGCCCTTGCTCCCTTAGTCCATGGGAGATTATCAAGCTTCCTTATGACTCATCCTGTGAGTCAGACAGGGGAAGAAAAATAAGCATGTCAAAGTATAACTTTTCAATGTGAAAAGATTTAGCAGTCGGCTCTATGACCAAAACTGTTGAGCTGAGGAGCTGGAGAGAAAATTGTGAAGTTCTCTCTCATTTCACTGTCTAAGAGCCTTCTGTGGGCGGCCAGGTAAGGGATCAGCTGGGAGGAAAGAGACTCCAGAGGATTCCCAGGGGACAAGATGGCCTGCTAAGGCCTGGAGCTGAAGTTGGAAGGGCTGTCTTCTGCTTTTCTGTGATCTGTACAGCTTCCATTTCCTTCATGCAAGACTAGTCCCTGGCTACTTCTGGGTATAACTTGCATTTTTTTTCTTTTATTGAGTGTATTGGTACATTTTAGGTATACAGTACAGTTAATTCATTATTGGGATCTTGTACCTTTACATGACAGATCTTGGTTCTCATTTTTTCCCCTTGTCCCTGCCCTCCCTTCACCCCCTCCTCCCCTCCCCATTTACGAACACATTATTTACATTTTTTCATTTTATAACTTGCATTTCTGATCCCACCTACTTGTGTTGTGATTCTTGATCTTGGTTGCACAGTGGAATCATTTGGGGGCTGGGGTTTAAGACATGCTCATCTTTGGTTCTACCCCCAGGCCATGGGTATCTAGATTTGTAGGACTCACTAGGTCATTTAAAAGTATATCCAAGGTGGGACTCATCTCAAACAATGTATAAACTCACTATATAACTTGTATTCATCTTTCATCTCTAATTGTATTATTATATGTTCTTTACTAGATTAAAGAATTCATGCTTTGTGATAATATTTCCAAAGGTTGTGAAGCCTTTTCTACACCCTAATGTCATATTGCATCAGAAATTGTGCTAAAGATAAACCAGTTAAAGTTGATGTAGGGTATTTTAGGTCTAAAGCAGAGTAAGAGTCACAGGGTAGCCTCCTCCCTTTCCAGTTTCCTTCTCTTAATTCACAATTTTGCTCTCCAGTTCTTCTCAAATGCCTGCTCACTCCTTCTGTGTTTTACAGCTTTCTGTCTCTATAACTCATATGGAAGTTATTCCAGAAAGTCCCTTCCAAAGTCCCCATTTGGTAGAGCACCAGCTCCTCAAGGATGTCAGCCCCGGGCAATCTCCAGGGGACACTGCTGTCCTGGGCCTTAGGTCTCTCATGTGGCAGGGGTAGCATAGCACTCCTCTTGCTTTTTGATCTTAGGGCCCCTTTATATATTTCAAAAACAAATGAGAATTCCAGAGAGATTTGTTTATGTGTATTACATCTACTGATATTAACTTTATTAGGAATTAAAACTGAGAAATTTAAAATATGGATAATAAATCCCTTTAAAATAAAAATAACAAACTTATTTTGTGTTAATATAGATAATATATTCTATGAGAAATAACTATATTTAAGATAAAAAGACAATGAGAAGCATGGCATTGTTTTACATATCTACAAATCTCTTTTATGTCAGGCTTGATAGGAGATATTAGATTCTCAGATCTTCTGTATTCATTCTGCTGTGATTTATTCAGCTGCTTTGGAAAGTGCTGAACTTGTAAGAGGATGAGAATGAAAAAGACAAACAATGCCTTAGTATTATGGAAGTTGTTTTGACCTTGTAGACCTCCTAAAGAGGTTCCCATGATATCTGGTCTGCACTCCGAGAAGTACTGGTGTGGACATAAAGACATAGTCAAGACAGCCAGAGCAGGATGATGAGTCAACGAGGACGCAGTACGAGGCATAGGCAATAACCTGTGACCAGCATGTAGATCTCAGAGAACTCACAACATGAGAAAACATAAAAATTAATTTGACCAAGAACAAGTAATGTTGCTAATGTTGGGTATAGGCCTATTATCATGGGTGTCTTAGTTACACTTCTCATTGCTGAGACAAAATACCTCACATTCACAAGTTAAAGAACAAGAGGTTCATTTCTGTAGAGATTTCATTCCATAGTTGGCTGACTCCAAGGCAAGATGGCATCGCAGAGGGTCATCGCAGAGGAGAAACAGCCCATGGCAGGCAGGCAACAAAGCCTGCCTTGCATCTTTCCTTTTATGTTCCATCCAGGCTACAAACCTATTGACTGACATCACCCACACCTGGGGTGCGGCCTCCACTATCCACACCCAGAACTACGCCAAACCAATTCAGTTATCACACACTCTTAATCCATTTTCACACACTCTAGATCCAGCCACCTCTGAGAAGCCCCACCAATGAGTACACAGAGCTTTGTGGGGTTATCTAATTACATACAGATGGGGTCTGGGACAGGTTTCTAAGTTCTTGCATGTGACAAAGAAAGAATTGAGGTAAGGAAAAAGTATCAAAGTTTATAAGGGTGATAGTATGTTCTGAGTGAGTAGGCTAGTGCCTGTGAAAGGAAGACGGCGTGGGTGCTAGGGGAATAATGTACAGGGGTGTGGAATGTTGCACCAGGTCTCCAGCACCTCCCGTCAGGCTCCTGCAGAGCACGATAACATGACTGAAGGGTGCTGAGTCAGGTCAGCTGCATCTGTTGCACTTGCCCCTTCCCGTAACTCACTCTGTTTTAAATCATGTATGAGAAGCAGACCATGTGCATAAACCCCAGCAATCTGTATGTGTTGTATGCACTGTATGGATGAATAATTGGAACCTCATCCATGCCTGCATCCATGCACATGTGAGCTAACATCCAGGTTTAAGATCACCCCTCCTAAAGACTCTTTCCTGGTAAATTCAACCCAGTGGCTTACCATTCCGAGATGCTATTTTAATACATTTATTCGTATCCCCATCTGAACTGAAAATGTTTTAGATGAAGTATACAGAATCTACTTCACCATACCATAAAAATAGCACCCTACGAATACACATTCCAGAACTGACTGTTTGACTCTATCTGGGAGATGCTCATCCTGGAGCACACAGGTCAGGTTTCTGTGCGTCACACTATGGCTTCATGTCTTCATTGCCTATCCCTTCCAGCTGTGGGTTTATGTTTCCAGTAGCAAGGTTGACTTGTCAGACTTTGGGCAGGGGCGGGAGTCTATTTCATAGGGGAGCTGTAGTGCATGTCGATTCTCTTTCAGTAAAGGTGTAATAGCAAGCTACCAGGAAATTTTCATCATGTTCAAAAATGGACAAGTGAATGGAGCTGAACTCCTTGGCAGAATTCAGGCTATTCAAAGTCAAGCTGGCTTTTGCCGGTCAGGGCTTCTCTTCAGCAGGTGCTCAGGGAAGCATTGGCAATAGTCGTGCTCCGTCGTCGACAAGCAGCCGCTCCAAGGCAGAAGCTCAACCCAGGCCCTCTGTGTTCGCGGGGCCCATGAAAGTGCCCTGCGCACAGGAAGGGTTTAATGAGGGCTTAGTGAGTGAACGAATACATGGGTGGGTTTTCTCTTTTAACTCTTTGTGGGGAAGTCCTGAGGATAAAACCCAAGGCCTTTGCACTGAGCTGTATCACCAGCCCTTCAAGAATTTTTATTTTCAGACAAAGTCTCATTACACTGTTAAATTCCCCAGCCTGGGACAGAACTTACAATCCTCCTGCCTCAGCTTCCCAGAGTGTGAGTACCACCTCACTCTTCTTAAATTCTTTATAAAGTATTCCCCACTGTGCCCAGACCTAGGGAAAATGTGTATTTCTAATGTGAACCCTTGTTGGTCCCCTGTTTCGATTTCACAGGTCCCCTGTGGACCTGGGGTCATTTGCTTGACTAGTTTAAATATCAAAGATGCTGACTAGGGGAGATTTAAGTCTTGGAAAGAGCACAAGGCCCTTCTTGGTGGAATCTTTTCTCAGTTATTTGGCCATGAAGTTCTATTCAAGCCTAATGTAATCAGTATTAATGTGTATTTGTTGAATGAATTGCTGCATAATTACAGAGTTATCCGTTAGGGACCCCTGATTATAATTTTAAATTCCAAGTAGTGCAGTGACTTAGGAAAATGTCACACTACAAAGCAAAAGATAAATGCCTCCCCCGCACATCCTTCCCTTTAACCCATATCCAAAGAAGAATGTGAAAAATTGCAAACCTTTCTCTGTCCATATCCTCATTATTCCCTTACATCTCTCTGTCCCACCCACACCCAGGCAGACAAATATCAAAGAACTGGAACCTGCAAATTCATCAATGTTTCATTTGTTTCCCATCTGTTTCCTAGATATGCCAGAGCCCTTAGGCTTTTTAAAATGTCTGCCTCTCAAACCCAGACATGAGTGACAGCATCAGATAAAGCAATTGTAACTTCCCTCTTTCATGTTGCATCTGTCCTAAGACTGGATACAGTTGATTTACCTGTAGTAAAAGGGATAATAACCAGAAAAGAGGATTACAGTACATTCAGAAGCAATCAAAGGAGGAAAATAAACGAAGTGCCAAGAGGGTATTAACTAGAAGAGCAATTCACAGGAACAGAACAAACTTAGAGAGTGGGGATAAAGAAACTTGCCAGGGACAACTTCTATACTTTGTAAGTCTGGAATTTTATCAAAGTTGGACAGGAAATTTTCTACTTTAGGTAATTTAACAGATAGGCATAATTTACTGGTTTTTGCTTATAATTTTATTCAGGACATTTCTGACTTTTCCATTCTTGTTTTTTTTTTCATCTTTAATTGAGTTTATTGGTGCATTTTAGGGATACAGTACAGTTACATTCATTGTTGGGATCTTGTACCTCTACATGACAAGTCTTTATTCTCATTTTTTCCCCTTACTGACTTTTCCATTCTTTTTGAAGCAACCTAAGCTATGGAGAATGCATATTCTTTTATTTTGTGTGTGCAGGACCTCATGCGTGTGAGCCATGTGCCCTACCATTGAGCCATGTCCCAGTTCTGAGAATGCGTACTCTCAGTTCCGTCCATCCACATGTACAGAATGCCGAGGTATATGCAGTGTTGGGGTGGAGGCATGAAGCCGTGGATATGGGGAATTTCTTTAAACACAATTTACTTGGGAATCTGGAACAGACATCAAAAATGTGGATTTATCATACAATGGGTCGGGGGCATGAATTTTAAAGATCACTGTGTCAAATAATTGTCACATGCGTGGCAGCTGCTTGTGACCAGCAGGTCTCCCTTTCCCTCCTTTCCCAGAGGTTCCCCCATTACTGGATCGCAAGACAAAGAGATGGAGGAGAAGTTTCCACATTGCTATTTGTACATAGTCTAGAATTACATCAAAATGCTCACCCTGTATAGGTACAATTTCTGCTGTGAAATTTCAAGGGCATCATTACTTGGGACCTGATTTACTTCACTGTTTATCTCTTTGGTCACCTCCCTCAGCCCATGACTCCTCTGGTCATTAAAGAAAGCTAATCACATAAACAATAAAATCAAATATGTGATACACGACTCATGCCTTCTTCTAGTCTCCCAATTTCTATACCACTCCCCAAAGAATTGCATTCTCTGCAGTGAGTCATGGTGGTAAATCTGAGAAATGATAGTGGCCCAGCCCAACATGTGGCTGGATAGTTTGGGAGAATGGATCCCAGGCGGGTGGTAGTAGGAGTTAGGAGAAGATCACAATTCAATGTGTAGTTTCTTTGTGAATGATTCATGGAAAGGGTGAACTAAAAGTACTTAGAAAAGTTCAGAATGATTTATACTGTATAAGGTGAAAAACTAGAAAGTTTTATTTTGCCCTTATCAGCCTCAGTAATGAGTGTATAAAGTAGAATCTGTCTTAAATTTTGAGGCTAAACTATGGCTTGCTGAAAAGAGCTCAACTTTGATGCTAGACAGATCTGAGTTCAAATCATGCCTCTGTCATTTACTGTCTCTGACCAGGGCAAATTGCTTAGTCTCTTTGATCACCCATATGCTAATTTATAAAGCAGAGATAATAAGGGGTACATAGGGGGGTAAAAGCTAGGATGGATGAACCATCTGACATGCACTGTTTATTTAATTTGTACTAGTTTTTTATCTCTGTATAATAAATTACCTCAAAAAATAGTGGCTTCAGAGAAGACACATTTATTACATCATAGTTTCTATGGGTCAGACATCTGAGTGTAGTTTGTCTGGGGGGTCCTGGCTGAGGATCTCTCCCAAAGCCAGTGTGCAGGAATTGGCTGAGGTTGCTGACTCATCCAAAGGGTCATCTGAAGGCTGACCTACTCCAGGCTCACACACCTGGTTCCTGGCAGGCTCAGCTCCTCACTGGCTGGGACATGGGCTCTTTGCCATATGGACCTCTTCAAAGGGCAGCTCGCAACATGGCAGCTGTATTGGTTCAGGAAGCCAAGAGAGAAAGCAGAAGACATGCAAATAAAACAAACCAAGACCCGTCATGTAAAGGTACAAGGTCTCAAGGATGAATATAACTGTACTCTATACCTAGAAAAGTACCAATAAACTTAATGAGAAAAAAACCCACAAGCTGTTCGTAACCTAGTCTCAAAAGCAATTGCTGGTCACTTTTGTCCTGTTCTGTTTGTCAGAAGTGCGTCACTTCATTCAGGAGGAATTGGGGAGGATTTCCACAAGGGCACCAATGCCAGGTGGAGGTGGTCATGGCCAGGCATTGTAGCGGATGATTCAACCTAAAAGTAAAGTGAGACAAGGTGCCTGCCCCTATGCAGCTTCTGAAATCAGAGATAGACATGAATTCATATAAAATATCAACTTATGGTGAAACAAACACATCACAGGGACCTGGCCCGGTTATCAATCAGTGAATATTGCCTGAGAAATTATCTCCCACTCCAGTGTTATGGTAGTGTAGTCAAAGAATGGAGAGAAAAATCATTTCTGGCAGAGAGAACATTATATGCAAAGTATGACATTCTTAAAGTCTTATCCAAAATTAATGTATGGCGCAAACCAGCCTGGCAAAGATAATTACTTTAGGCTCCTATTTAATTTCACTCATGCAATAGCAATTCAGTGCATTGAGGTATTTTGCTCTCTGACTTGTCTCAGGGGTTATGTTGGCAACTCAGAAGAGAGAGTTCTACAGCAGTGCTTGTCAAACATCAGTAGATGTTTGTTATATTTGATAAAATGCAGATTCTCATGGTACAGACCCAGATTTTCTCATCACCATCACTTGAGAATTTAGCAGAAATGTACAACACCAGGCAGCATCCTAGAGCTCTGGAGGTGAGTACATGAATTACCTGGAAAGTCTGGGCTCCATCCCAGAAGACGCAGTCACAGATGATAGCGGTGGGGCTCAAGAGTTTGCATTTCTAAGAAGCTTTGTGATGTTCGTAGCATCACACTTTAAATAGTAGTATTCTAGGCCTCCAGAGCTCAAACTAGTACCCTGAAAATTGTAGAAAAGATCTTGAATGGCAGCCCTTGCTGAAGGCCAATCTTAAGGAAAAGAATTCTCTGTTGGAGAAACAAAGAAGAGCTCATCTTCTCCTTTGATGAAGAAAATAGAGTGTAGTCATCTTTCCACTACTATGAGAAATACCTGACATAGTCAACATAAAGAATAAAGGGTCATTTGGGGTTACGGTCTTAGAGTCTTGAAAGTTTCATTGCATGATCTATTGGCCCTATTGTTTTTAGGACAGTGACAATGTAGCACATTATGGTAGGAGCATATACAGGAGCAAAACTACTCGTCATGTGGCTAGAAAGTGAAAAAGAAAAAGAAGATACTGGGCTCCCTCTGTCCACTTTGAGGGCATAACCCAGTGACCAGAAGACTGCCTACTAAGCCCTTCTCTTAAAAGGTTCTACCATCTCCCATTAGCATCACACTGGGGACCACGTCTTTCTTATATGGACCTCTAGGAGATACTTAAGATCCAAACCATAGCACCTCCCATGGGTTGTACCCAACCCAGTGTGTTTCTTTCAAGGAATGTCCAGGGACCATCAGGACTATCTGTCAATTAGCAACCAAAGCACATTTTTAATTACAGCTACATTTCTTACAACCAAGTAATCCATTTTCTTGTCTTAGAATATTTACATGCCTCCGGGAGATCATGAGAACACAGACAATGTCACGTGTCAGTTAGAGAAATGGACTTAGGTTTAAAAGACTTAGGAGTGATTCTTAGTTCTACCGCTCCATCAGACATGAGACAGAGTAAGACATTAATATTTCTACACCAAATTCCCCATCTTTAAAAAGGAGAATAATACTGTCCACAATCACCAAGCAGGATTGTTGTATGAATCCAAGCACTATGCTACTCCTCCTGTATTTTTCATTTCTCCACCTTTCCCTCTCCCCTTTTCTCCCTTCCCCTATTTCTTCCTGTCCCTATTCCCTTACCTTCCCTGAAACACAAAGGGAATGAAGACAGAATCCTCGTAGGAGGCTTCATACAGAAGCCAGTAGGATCAGGAGGGGCCAACAGGAGCCTAAAGGGCTAAAGGACCAAGAGTGGTGGGGCAGGGGTATGGTGGGCTGGTTCTTCAGAGGAGTCAGAGCTTGAGAAGCACAAGGAGGAGCTCAATATCCATTAGGAGAGTGGTGACATGGGTGATCCTAATTATAGGAAATGAACTACATACAAAAAGATAGATGAAATGAATAAATATAGTAAAGAAAATGAGAGCCAGTTCCTACTGTTGGAGAAGGGAATTGCTAGTTTTGAAAGAGACAATTAGAAGAGCCCCTGGCATGTTGGATTAGGTTAGAATTGTTTTCAGATAGGTATGAAAACAAATATAGATGTAAGAATGTGTGGGGACAAGGGTCCCTAGCTCTATCAAAAGATCCAAGATCATCAACACCCCAGTGTCAATAAGAATACTTAGTACCCTAGGTTGGCTTCAAAATACCATGTCTCAGTGAAGGAATCTAGTACTCACTGGAGAAATTCCTGATCCTGAGGCTGGAGCAGAGAGAATGCAAGGTCCATTTTTATGAAAGAAAGTGAGGCAGTGTTCCCAGAATAATGGCAATATGAATTCTAGCTTGAAGGAGCTCCTACTGGCTATATTTGAGACAATTTGAACATGGAAACACATAATGACAGTCACCAATTATAGCACAATGAATGAAATTGGAAACCATTGGTCCAGAAGGATACGCAGAAATGAGTAAAGGTTTGATGAGAAATGGGGTTTTCATATTGCATCAAATTACCTCTTCACAAAGTATTTATGGATTATAAAGAAGAAAAGAGACTATAGTGTCAGCACTTGATAGATACCATCTTAATGAAGCGATCATAATGAGTATCACCAATGATGGGGTAAGTTGGAAAGCTTCACCATCCTATAGTGTGCAACTGGAACTCCACAGCATCACTTCCCTGGTAGTCTAGTCAAAGATGTACAACCTAAATCTAATAATAAAGGATGAACTCCCTTCTCCACTAGTCAGAGTCCATCAAAGGACATTCTATACAGTAACTAATCTAAAATCTCCAGAAGCCCCCGTGGTCATGAAAGAAAGTCAGTTTCTTTTTCACTAAAGGAAATTTAAGAGACATGATGGCAAGATATGCTTCTAGAATGCCCTATAAATGATATTATGAAGGAATTAGAAAAAATTGAATTCTATCTGAAGATTAAAGGGAGGTAATGTATCTGTGTTGACTTCCTGACTTTGTTGGTCATACTGTGCTTATGTTGGAGCATACCTTTGTTGTAGAAAACGTAGCACTGGTGTTAAGGATTGCTTGAGAAACTATGTTGACAATTTACAAGTGATCTGGGAGAAAAGCTCTTTGCTCTGTATTTGCAACTTATCCTTACATTTGAGCTTGTTCCAAAAAGAAACCCAAAACAACAATTCACATCAGCGTATCTGAGAGATGCAAAGCATTGTACAGAGGACAGGTGAAATGACATCATGCCCTATTGCACCATCTGCCATTTACTCCATACAAAATCAACACCCTGCCTTTCCATTTCTGCTGCAAGTTTTCTCTGATCTCTGTTCCTCCCATCACTTTCAACACCATCACCAGGTTTAGCCTCTCATCACTGCTCAACAGAGCCAAGGCAATAAGTTTCCAAGTTCTTCTTCGTGCCTCTAATGTCAGTTTCCTTTTCTGCTCCACTCTACCCAACCAACTAACCTCTGCCCCATATTACCACTTACATACCTTATAAAACCCAGACCTGATTTTGTCATTGTTCTGCTTAAAATCCTTAAATCTCCTCTCCCACATTGCCCAAACACGAAGCCCAATCTACTTAAACACTGCTTATTCTGGTTTTATCCTGTCCTTCAGCTTCTTCTACTTCTGTGTCTTCCTTTTCTGGTGGCTTAAGCAACACTGAGCAACTCTTCTTTCCATAACCTACAGGTATCTTCCAACCTCCATGCCCCAGTAAGGATATTTAGCCAACTTTC